CGCCGCGGAAGTTGTTATTCCACCAGGAATTATACTGTACGCCACGCGAACGATGTCGTTAGGCGGGACAGAAGGTGCACTCTCCGCATCGACGGGCGCGGGCGGGGCGTGGCCACATTGGGGTCACGCGACGACGCCGTCTGCTCTGGCGTTTGCTTCGGAGGCGTCCTCTTAAACTCTGTAATCAAATCTGCCTTTCAGCCAAAGTCACGGGTACCTTGCCCTCGCCCCCGCGCGCTCGCGTTGTCCTGGTGGCGGCGGGAGGCTGCAGGGGTGCTGCCGTACTGTACTCTACCCACACGACGCCGACCGCCGCTTGTTGTGGACGGGGCTGGGAGAGAGGGGGTAAATTCCGTTTGTCATAGAGTGGTTCCAGATCCTTTGTGCCCGTGAAACCCAATTCTTTGTACAACCCAAGTTTCTTGATTACTCAGCAGTGTAAGGAACTAAGATGTGTGCAGTGTGCACCACACAATTGAGCCGACAGTTTCAGCGAGCAAAGTGCGCCCCTCGCCCCTCCCCCGCCCCCATCTCTTTTCCTCCCCCCGCTGCCAACTCGGCGCGTTTTATTTGTGTATTTCCCCCTCGCGTCCTGTCGCCCGGATGACTCGCTCTTTCACTTTGGTTTTGTTTCCGCGCTCCTCGATGAGCGCCCGTCTGCCGGCCGTCTCTTCGCCGCCCCAACTCTTCTCCACCTCGGCTCGCCGTCACGCTCCTGTGACACGCGTCCGTCTTAAACGGATTACATTTTTGCTCCCGATTTTTGCGGGCGGCGTGCGGCGTGTCTCGCGCGCGCCTGGTCACCGGCGAGAGTTGGCGCGGCGCCCGCGAGCTAAGGGCAAGGCAGTGCGGTGTGTGCCGGCTGGGCCGGCCGGGCCGCGGGGGCAACAGCCTCCTCGCCTGTACACCTCAATAAATAAATAAATATAGAGTGCGCTGCGTTCGTTCGATACGCCGTTTTTTCCGTAACGGAATTGGGGTCTGCTAAACGTAATACGACCGCTTGCTTCCATCCCCTTCTAACTAAACACGCCCAAGAGCTCAGAGTGCGTTGCGTGTGGCCCATGCAGGCGCGGCTTGGCGAATAGCTCAAGTTTGCGACCCCTATCTGCCTCAACTTCCCTCCCATATTCTCTCTCTTAAAATCTGCAAGTTTTAGCCCGAGGCGTGTTGTCGCGGCTCGCTGCACGACTCTCTGGTCACCTTGGGCCCACGCACGGCCCGGCCGCGGGGCCCCGCGAGGATGAGCGATTGCAACTGCAATTGGAATGTGTGTCAGTCGCGCGACGTGCGATTAAATATTTATTGCTAATTGCCCTGTCACTGCTGCCGTATCGAATGTCACCGGTTTTGGTTTTTGGGGCCCGCGGGCCACGTGTGTGTCGCGCCTGGCTGTGTTTAGGCTATCGGACCGGTGCATCGCGGGGCTGGGCGGAGCGGCCGACATGCTGTGCTGCTACACTTTTGGTGCTCGCGCGCCACGCCCGGCCACGCCTGAGTGTGATTTGATTTGAAACTCTGTTGGTCATCATTATGTCAGCTTCGGCGATTGTCTCTCTGCTGCTTGGCGCGGCCCGCGCGCGCGGACTGTCACGTACACAGCGACAAAATGTTGATGTTTTGGGTCGCGCTGCGTGACCTTGACCCGGAGGAGCTGCTGGCGGTCACATTTGAAACATGCTGATATACTTTAATCGTGAAATGCACGAGTGGCAGAGGCGTCCGTGTGTGTCTGTGCTGGACTTCCCCCTCCCCTCCGGCCGGGCGGCGACACGCGAGCGTGTGAAGGACTCCTCTCCCATGCCACGGGTCTGTGTCCAGGTCCAGGCAGAGCGGAAGGATCGCGCGAAGGACACTCACTCGGAGGATGCTCGGCGGCTGCTGTTGTTGGGCTGGGCTGGGAAGGCTTCCGCATGGGCGTCCTTGACTTTGACCAGCACGAGCATGAGGAGCCTCGCCCTCGCCGAGGCGTTGGGCGTGGGCGGCGGTGTCGTGTCGTTGGCTTTATTGATAGGAAGAGAAAGTTCGCGATAATGTCCCTCGGCGAGCGATGGCGCGATGGCGGCGGCGTCCTCGGTGCCACATTGTCAGGGAGGCCTGCACGCGCGCTGGCTTAATCAGTAAATCCTCGCGGACATCGGACGGCGCTGTCATGCAGCGACCGCCGTCGCCTCACGACACGAGGTGTTACCTCACCGACGCTGCTCTGGTGGCACACCTCAAATGCATGGGATTAGGTCGGTCTAGGTCGATGACTATGACGACCCTGTGCATGGTCGGTGACCCCCGGTTGTTGGGTCTGTTGGGTTGTTGGTTGTTTGTTTTTTTGGATTGGCGGGGCTTCTGTGGTGTGCCGCGGCGGCCCACGCCTTTTTGCAAAATGAAAATCTTGTCTCGCGACACAATACTCTTCCGTGCCATCGCAAGCTCATTAGCGTATGATCTGGTTGTGTGTGTTGTTTTTGTCCGTGTCATGCAAACCCGTGGTGGGGCTATGGGCGTGGCCAGACGGTCGCACCTCTGTGGAGGTGACAATGAGCGAGCGCATCGCCTCGTGTGCAGAGGGCGGGGCGCGAATCGGTTTTCGGTCGTCACCTTGGCCGATGAGCGGATAGCTTTGGCTATGGCGCCTGCTCTATTATCTTTATCCAGCCGCGCTATTGATGTGTTTACCGCCGCGGGCGGTGTGTTCTTGAGGACGCCGCCGAGCAGCGGGGCCCTTTCCGTTCCGAGCCACGCCCTCCTGACCCGCGGGGGCACCACCCGTCTGGTGACGAGCCGTCTGGTCTGGGCCTTAGAGCTCCGCGGCTGTACGCCCTGTACACACAACAGCCGGAGCTGGCGTACTTGGCGCGGCGGGGGGCGTGTCCTGGCCGGCGGCGCCACAGACGGGGCTGGCGGCCGCTCGCGGGTCGTGACGCATGCAGAGCTTGGCGCGGGTGACGTCCTGCATTTCCTCTGGCCGGGCCTCCCGGCGGCGGCGGTGGTGGGGGAGCTTGTTGTGTGCCCCGCGGGTCCCTCGCCCTGGGTGCCGACGGCGTTGAGCAACCTGTTTCCTTCATCGTGCCGATAACACGGAGAGGGGAGTCACCCCGGCCCCGCGCCTGCAACAGTCTTGTGTCCTTAATCAAATCCTCGCGAAGAACCGTTGGATTTTGTCCTTTGCTCCCCGCCCCCGCGCGGGTCCTGTAAGCCCTCTGCTCGTGCGCGGCGGCGAGTGGTGCGGTAGGCCCGGCGCAGGCCTTGGCCACCTGCTTGGCTTTGTGTCTGGCTGGCTGCAAATGGCCGTGCGCCGTGCGCCGGCCAGACTGCGGGGCGGGGGAGAGAGAGAGAGAGAGAGAGAGAGAGAGAGAGAGAGAGGGGCTGACCAGACCGGATGGAACCGGTTCGCCTCTCCTCGTCTCTCTATCCGTATCCGTCCGGTACCAGCGGGCCGGGTCGATTCCCCCCGCAGTAGCAGCAGCTCCCATGAGGGGGAGGGGAGGGTCCACGGCCCGCACGCCAGGCCAGGAGTCGCACCTCCAGCGGCGCACATCGCACACGAGGCTCCTCGCCACACGACGCCATGTTCATGGAGCTATTGCATCTGCACTGTACTGCACTGCACTGTACCCTGCTGTTTGTGCTGCACTGCTGCGCCGCCTGGAGAGGGGGCCAGAGCACCAGCGGGCGTGCCACTGTATACAGCACAGCAGCTGTATCACATGATGTTGTTGCGAAAGTAGAAACAATGTGAAATGCGAACTGCGTCTTGTTTTCTTTCTCTCCCTCCCTGCTCCTTTGCCGCGTCAGCCGACCGCTCTCCTTCTTTCTGGCGTAATGGGGATTCCTTGGAGGCCAACGTGTTGCTCGCTGCTCGGCCAGCAGAGGCGCGGGCGCGGACATCGGCCTGCATGGTGGGCTGGGGGCCGCGGGGCGGGCCGCGGGCTGCGGGGGCGTGGCCGGGCGCAGGGCAGGAGGAGAAGGGTTGAGGCGGGCGCAGGGCAGAGGCGGGCGAGGCGGAGGTGCTGTGTAGACTTTGCACGGCGGCCGCGCCGTGCAGCCGTCTCTCTCTCACTCTCTCTCAGACCCAAACAGACCCGCGGCGGAACAGCTGTTGTCACAGAGGCCTCCCTGATAGCGCGGGGCGACGCGTGGCGCCGCCGTTCGGCCCACGCTATATCATTCGAGACTCTTCCTGGGTGAACCCTTTGCAGCTTCCGATAAGAGGACTTTCTTGTTCCCCCAAACACCCCGCAGAATTAACAAGGTCTGCAATTTCATTCGTGTTTTTCGCTGTGAGCACTTGAATCAACAGGTGGCTGATTAACCCGGACTAACCCCACTGACTTCTGTAGTCATACTGTACCGCATACAGGAGTGCGTTCGGGATGCCTACCCGACCGCGACCGTGGGGCGCCGTAGAGGATAGGCAAATCCACACGCACGCCTGTTTGCGCGTACAGTTTACCGCGGGGCGAGCGGCGTTAGTTAACCATCTGGCTTTACGCGTAAAAAAAATACTTGTTTATTGGATGGTGGGTAAAGTAAGAAAACTTGTCTTAAAAAATTAAGGCAAATCCCAAAAGCATAGTTTTTTGGGGTGCAGTTTCCCGCCCTTTCATTGGCAGTAATGACCATTTACTTTTCTTTATGTCTGTGTGGACGTCTGGGGGCGCAGTATCTCTTGACGATGCGGACCGTTTGGCGCGTCTTGTTGCGGGTTGTTGGTCGTCATCAATCATGGTCGTTTTGGTGTCTGTCGAATGTGCGACTGTCCCACTTCCTGCAGGCAGACGGTGTAGAGACAGATAGTGGACGGCCTAGACGCTGGGCGAGGCGGGGGGGGGCGGGGGTGGGGCGGGGTGTGGCGTTCATACGTATGGCGTGGGTGCGCGCGGCTATCATCCAGACCTCATTTCATTACGCATGATTCAACGGGTCGACGTCCGCGTGGCCTTAATCCACTCTACAGTTCTACAGAAATTTCCTCTCGTGTTTTTGTTGGGTTTTTCCCCGTTGCATTGTAGAATTTTCACGGTTAAAACCGAGGAGAAAGTGAAAACTTTGAGGGACTCCCATAGTTTGAGGAAAACTAGGAAAAAGTCCTCATGATTTTCAAAAAATATGTGGTTGGAAATTATCTCATTTTACCTCACAATATTAGTAGTTTCCCCCAAACTTAAAAAGGTTCTGAACAGTTCTGAAAGTTTTCCTTTCCCCCTCAAAAAGGCGCAGCGCAGACATTGTTTTTACCGTGGTGTCTCGGCGCACATTGCGGGCTTCAGTTTGTGGCACGGGCGCGACACGAGCGACACACCGCTCCCGCTCATAAGTCCCCCGTAAGCCCCCCTCTCCTTTCTCACCCCGCCCCGCTCTCGAGCTCCCCGGCTGCTTTTGCCTTTGTCGTGCAGATTTTATGGATGCTGTGCAGTTCTCTGTCGCGCCGTCGCTCCATTTCAGAGTTTTTCGTTTTTTGTTATCATGGCCGATGAGATAATTGCGCTCTTCCGGCGCGCCGTAACAGTTGTTTCCGTCTCGTTTCCCCGTCGCGGGCGCTGCATGGCGACGCCTTCCTTTAGCTTCCAGAGCGCGCCTCTGGCTGCCTCTGCGCTGGCGGCGCGCAACCTTGGGGTTCAATTGCCGTCGCCTCGCCCCGCCCTCTCTGCCCTTTACCACGCTCACTGTGAAAAATATATTTGTAAATTTGCACAACATATTTTGTAGTTCTGATACGTTCCGATATTACTAATCGCTCATCCAAAAATTTCAAATTAGTGTCATTTTACAACACACATAATGGAACATTTTCCTCCTGTAACCTTCACAAGTCATCTCGCATTGCTGTCCTCCAACGGAAATAAAAATGAACGATATCAGATTTCTGTGAATTAGTCGGAATGAATGAGTCGTTATTGAACCGCATTTGCCTCTTTTCGGTTGCAGGCTACCAGGCGTGCGAGCGCAAGTCGTTCACCTTCCTGCGCAAGGAGCTGCCCGTTCGGCTGGCCAACATCATGAAGGAAATCGCGCTGCTGCCGGAGAACTTGACCAGGATGCCGTCCGTCGTCCTGGTGACGGACTGGTACGCGCGGTCCTTCTCCGAGATCATCGCCTTCGAGAGGTCCGACATCAGCCCCACCACGCTCGACAGGTAAAGATGGGAGGCGCAGCTGTGGACCGGGCGGGCAAGCTAGGTAGGCGGGGGCGGGGACAACTGAAAATGCAGGAGTGCTTCCAATTTTGTTTCTCTTGGGAGAGAGACGCTTGCTTTTGTCGCTCTATTTGTGTAATGATTTGGGAAAAACACTGCTTTATTTGCATGACGATCGTCGCTGCTCAAAAGTGGCGATCATCGAAAGCAATCGTGTGATGCGATTTCAGCGATGTTCCACACGATCATCACTTAAACAAAGCGACGAAAACAGTAACATCGCTTTAATTGGGTAACGAAAGTTCCTGTTCCTCTTTTTCGATGAGACTCATCACTCCAGTGTAACTCGGCCCGTCCCTGTGCGCCAGCGAGCTGTCAGCGTGGCTACTGTACTACCTGTGCAGTACGGTGCCCGTTGCCTGCCCGCGGGGACGTTGTTGGCAAGGTCCTGGTTGGACAACAGGAGTAGGGGGGCGTGCGCCCCGAATGCGTCCCTTCCTCCCCGCACCGCCCCGCTCGCGTTTATTTAAATATACGCGCGGCCCGCCCTTCCTTTTTCCTTTTGGGCGCGGCAGGGGCGCTGAGCCGGCCCGGCCCTGCTGATGCAACTCTGCATCAGCCGATTTATTTTAAACCTGCAAACCTGCCAGGGGTAAAAGGGGGGGGGGGCAGAGGGTGACAGGCAGGAGGACCTCTGTCCGGAGAGGAGATGGGACCAGTGACCTTGCCGCCAGCTGCTGGCCGACGCTGCCGCTGCCTGTGGGGTGGAAGACGTGGTGGGACCAACCAATAATGGAATTCCAGCGCAAAATCGCGCTCTGCCGGCGGGCCCGGCTGCGACGGCCCAAGGACGCTCCGCGCGCCCCGGCCGAAACTTATCTCCCTCTCACATTCTCGCCCCACCCCTCGCCCCTTTCTCCATTATCCTCCCTTTCTCTATTTCTCTTTCCTGCTCCCATCCCCCCATCCCCCATTGGATGGCTCCTGCTCTTCCTCGGCTCAGCTCCAGCCCCGTGGAGGCCCCCGGCAGGATGGGCCAGCCCGCCACGCACGGGAGTGCTCATCCAAGGGTGTTGCCTACCACCCAGGCGGCCCGCCACGCTCAGCAATGCTTAGCTGTCGTCTGATTCAGAAGATCGTTTAAGGTTACGCGGGAGACAAATCGGGGTTGCACTAGGATTCCGACTGCGGGAGTAGTCCCGTGGCTGTCAGCCGGCCCGCTCCGCTCCTCGCCACCGAGCAGCGACCGAGCGACAGCCGCCCAGTGTTTGACGGACAATGCAAGGTGTCAGGCGTGTATCTTATTGCCCCTCCCCCTCCCCAGCCCGAGCCACTAAATCCGCCTTATGTTCTTGCTCTCTCAACAGCGGCGAGCTCAGGCAGTGCGATAGAGAAGGGTATACAGCTAAGAGACTCGCAAGTTTGCAATCTCCGGAAGTACTTTACTCATTTGTACTAACGCAGAAGCGTCGCGTTCGAAGCTCGGCTAATACGGTGTTCCACAGGTATAGAGTGTGGGAAAATAAAATAAAACTTCAAATTGTTTAAATAATTGATAATTTTTTATTCGCTGTAAAAGTGTAGTGAACCGTGCACATTTACTACTATAGTGTAATTCTACTAACGGAGGACGAAGTCTCCCTCCGTTTGCCTGGTTTTTCGAAATACATGCGTTTGGCAGAACACGCCGGTGCGTACAGGTTTGCTTACTCACAGAGGGTATGGCGCCTTACAGGCAAAGGATAAGGCAAACGCGCCCAACCATTTCTGTAATCTGATAGAAATGTTACAAAAATCCGTGTAAATTACAAAATTTGGAATTCGGTCGGGGAGCTGCACGGGATCGAGTCTCCATACACATGCGACTCTCACGCACAATGTGGTAGTAGTGGTTTCGTAGTATCACGTGATCGGGTGAAGGGAGGTGCAGTGCAGCCACTAATCCGCCCCAAAACACAATGACACTGGTAGCATGAACGGCGACCTCTCCGCCTCCCCCCCCCCCCCCCTCGGCTCCACCTTCGGGTGCGCCTAATCGGATCGGACCGGTTTCGTGAAAACAGGAGATAGGAAAGTTCTCTAATCAGCAGCCAAACGTCCTCAGAGGAAGGCTGGTGGTTGCCTGCCATTCGCAGAAGTATGAAATGTGAATGTGGCGTCGATGAAGCAGGTTTGAAAGGTACCAACCACACTGTCGTTTTACAACATAGTTCAAACTCAGAAGTCCGATTGCTTTAGGGCGACACCCGTAAGGTTCCGTTGCGGTCCCTTCGAAGTAGACGTACACGTACGCGATCTAAAGTTTCGTTCGTGGATTTGTAACGGCCTACTTTTATTTTTTTGACTTGAACTGGTAATCCGTGGTGAGGCCTGCGCGAGACAAGCCAGTAGGCTCGAGCAAGCGGCGTGTGAAAAATTGTTACTACTATGCATGCTGCGCCAGCAACGCCCTGTTCAAGCCGCACCACCTCGCACCAAATTTCTGCCAGGCCGTCTGTACTTGCACGGATAGTGTAAGCGACAAGGATGCTCTTGGAGACTGCAAGAGTGCGAGAGAGATGCCAGCCTATTAGGATCGACCCTTTGCCGATAAGCTTCTCTCTCGCACGCTTGCAGTCTCCAAGAGCATCCTTCTCTCTCACTCAACAGCAGTCCACCGGCGAGGCGGTGGCCGGCCGGGTCGGGCCTGGCCTGGCCTGGCGGCATGAGACAACGGTCAATCACACAATGCGCTCTCGCTCGCTCGCCTGTCGTAAATCAGTTACCGGCCGGCCAGCGCGCCTGGCTCGCACTCCCCGGCCAAAACGTGGGGTATAGCGGGTTTTCGGCCAATTTCGTTCCAAAATTCCGCCTAAACTATCACTCCGACGAACACGTATTTGATGGAAGCGTAATCTCTGAACTTTCCTCTACTTCCTTACGTTTTAGTTTTTGAGATTGGACCAATGGGAAGCCCGCTAGAGGTCGGCAAATCAAGGTCTGTAAATCGTCGAAAATCACATACTTTGGACCCAAATATTGGCCTAACTGTGTACAATATCAAAAATCTCTCGACGAGAGGAAGTAGATCTCAAGAAGTACTACCAGACGCAAAAAACCGCAAGTCTGTAGCACACATAGTTTCATGGCAATCTTGGAACGAAATTAACATTAGCAGCATAGGGCGGCGTACAGGCGAAATTGTCTCCCGCGTAACCTTAAGAGAGGCTCTCCTATAGCCCCGTATAGCTCCGTCCTTGTTGCACTCATGGGGCAGGTATGGGAGAGCCCCTCTTGAACGATCTTCTGAATCAGGCGGCTGCTGGTTTTGCCTACCCTCGGAGCACATCGGCGCCTCCCACTGGGGGAACCTGACCGGACCGGCCCTCGCCGGGCGGCCCTGCTCACCCCGTCAATCATACATTGATTGCCCTTGAGTCGAGTGGGTGCCCACTGCCCACGGCCTACGGCCGGCTATGGCGTCATCGGGGGGTTGTTTGTGCCCCGCTGGCGGCAGGTGGAGGGGGTGGCGGGCCAATCCCCCCAAAGCCCCAATCATCGTAATCGCGACGGTAATCAAGTCCTCGACCGACCGAAGAGAGTTAGTCGGTGTGCGAGAGAGA